CAACGGGTGTTTAGACCAGCTCAGCTGCGCTCCAGATTGTACTCGGAGAAGAGGACCCTGGAAGTCTTCAACTTGGGTGAAACTGGCTCTGCTTCGGGAAGGCAAAGCCCCGTGGCCTTGCTGTGCAGAGGGTACTTCCATGTGCTCCAGCACTGTCTTACCAGACTCTAGAAGATGGCTCTTGTCCCCATGACCTCCCAAATACCATGGCACATGATGCAATATGCCATGACCTAACTTCTGGTGAATATTTAAAAACAAAAAAATCCCAGACTATTTTCATCTCAACTTCCCAATCTCATTATCAATGAGTTTGCTACTACTATGTATAATGTTCTCTCTCCGAAGTCTCTAAGGCCTTTTGCTTGAAAATTTAAACTGAATTCTGCAATGTGTGCTTCCCACATTTTGGTTGTCTATTCAATGTTTGCTGCCCAGGCAGAGGTGGGGATGGGAAAGAAGATTGGCGTGTTAAAATGGCAGCCAAATGATTAATTTTTTTTCCAAAATCAGTTTTATCATCTCAAATTCCTAAGTAGATCTTAAAAGAAGAAATTGAACTCAATTGCCGTATTTAGAGCTTTGGGAGGAAAGCCCTCTTTTTTTCTTTAAAACTAAAGAAGTTTTTTTGACTGGAATTTAAGATTATGTAATTTTTTTTTCCAAATTGTGACTTGATGAATCAATTGTGAGCTATGCAGTTTTATTTATCTCTGGAATTATCAAGATGTTTACATGCACTAAAAATGCCGTCTTACAAATGAGTTTTGCTTTGTGTGGTTAATGTGGACCTTTTTTTTAGTAAAAGAGCAATTGAATTTGATTGTTTGAACACAAATATGAGGCTTATTTCCTAAAATGAGAGACTTGGGAGCTTAGATATTAGTTAAGGTGTGCCCGTAGGGAGATAACACGTATTTAGATGAAAGGATATTTGGCAAGTTACCATTTTTTTGATATATACTTGGAGTTAGTGTGGCTGAATTAAAGATTGTCCTATTTTGGCAAATCCATACGTGCTGTTGTGACTGTTGTTGTGTGCCCTCTAGCCTCGAAGGACAAGTCCTGGCAGGAACCGAGCAGCTTGTGGACTCGCCGCTAAAGTGTAAGAAATAAGCAGGGATCCTGCAAACAGGAAGCACAGGAATTGTGCAGCTCAGCTGTGCAAAGAGGCTGACTGGGGAGCTGCCTTCAGATCTACATGGAGGAGCTATTACAGCTGCTCCGCCGTCCTTCTAATCACACAGAAGTATTTGAAACAACTAAAATGTCTTTCCAGGCTGCCTCTGCCTTTGTCATGTTTTTGTTCTGCGCGTGTTCTTCGGATGCTCTTGTCTTTCAGCCTGAAGAGAGGAGCCGAAATCCCTGTTTAAAAATAGTGAAGGCCTTTTTTGGAGAGAGGAGGCTCTCCAAATCTTTGTGTTTCTGTGCATCATACAGAAGTGAATAAGGAACAAGCCCCAGATTTTATGTTTATGGGAGGCTGCCCAAAAAAAAAAGGGAGGGGGTAGTGGATTTTGTTTTTGGACTCAAGAGAGAAGCAGATGTGTCCTCCGTTTCTATGCCTGGTTCTCGTTAACAAACACTTCAGTAAAGGCTTCTATTTCTGGGCTTTGTCAGCTAATTATGCTCAAGTCTAAAACAGTTTGTGGATCCACCTAAAATGCCGTGCCAAAAAATCTGGAAATGTTCCCTTTCAATTTAATACAACTTACTTCAGACGCACAAATCTCAGTTCTTCTTTTCTTTCTCATATGGAGATGTTCTCAAAAACATCTCTCAAAAACAGGTGATTCTGAGGAATTTAGTACTGTATGTGTCCTTAATTTCATACATTCCCCCCCCTCCTTGGAAAACAGTTGATTACTTGTTTTTTCTATTTAGTCTTTTGTCTTGCAGATCCAAGCTAAGATGAGATCTCTCCTTTGGCTATAAATTTTGAAACATTTTATAGAGGTAATGAGATGTCATTCTACTAAATTATAAATTAAAAATAATCCAGTTTTTGCGTTTCCTTTAAAATTTCTCAGCTGCTTACTGATTCCTAGTTTAATGTTACTTCAGCAGCTAATTTGAAGTGCCTGACTGTCAGTTTATAATGGCATGATAATAAGTCCTTAACAACTAAGACAGCACAACCAAGTGCTCCAACAAATGTCTATAAAATGACATTTTTCTAAAAAAAAAAAAAGTATAAGCCATTTTCCATGTTAAAAGTTATAAAATGTGCCAGTGGGAGCTTGAAACTCATTGTATAAAGCTGAATGACTTGGATGGGCATTCCATTAAGTTAATTTTTCCCTTCATTTAGGTTTTTTTATTACTCTTCAACTGCTCTCTTTCAATTTATCTGCACTTCAAAGGGAGTCAAAGAGCTTTGTTGAACAGTGATTTTTGTCAGTCTTCTGCCTTACTCTGCTCCTAAGCTTTGCTGGACTAATTTGTACTTTGAGGACAAAAAATCCTTTTTTTCCAAATTAGTTTTAAATACTTGCCTGATTGTTTGGTTATTCCCGGATCCTGGAAAAGACTTTCCCTTAAGGGTTGTTGTAGAAGGAAATAGGGCCCTGGGGTAGGCTGGAAGGAACAAGTAGAGGAAGAAGGTTTTAGTTTGGGCTCCTGGTGCTTTGCCCAGCAGAGAGGAGCTGGAGTTCAGTGGTTCATCTCACTTTGTGCTTTGGAAGCCACTTCTTATCGTTTGCTCTTCACGTTATCTTTATCATCACATACCATATGACTCATAATAACATCCTGCTCTTCGATTTCTGTGTGGTTTGTATAGAAGTTTTTGCACAGCTAGTGCAAACACAGGTTCTTTTGCAGTCGTGTGTTTTTGCTGTGGCAGAGGACAATGTCTGCACGGGTGTGTCTGGGCAGCAGCTGCTCACAGAGCAGGTTCTTGGTGCCCTCGTGGGAGGGCAGAGTCTCCAACCTCCCTCAGGTAGCAGTGGTGATTCGAGCAGCATTGGGGAGCTATATTGGCAAACACATTCCCTGAGAGAAGAATGTTAGGTCTTTAAAATCAATTTTGTAGGAAATGGATGGAGCCTTTGTAAAGTTTATGTGCAATTAAACAAAAGGTTCTCAGGGCTGGAAAATGTTGACGGGCTGTTGGGCTCCTGACAAATTTCTGTAGGTGCCCTTGTTTTCAGAAACGTGTGAAATGATGTGGCTGTTCACAGCAGTGAACAGGGGACTGGTGGTTTTTGTCGCTGGGGACCTTGGCCAGTTCTCTGCAACTTGCAGGCTGATCAGATCTAGCTTTGTTCGTGCAGTGGTGTTTCTGTACTTGGAAATGAAGTCCGGCTTGGGCATACTGTGTGTGATTAGGGTGAGACATAGGCATCCTGATAAAGGTATTGGGTCCTAGAGGGCATGTGAGGGAAGTCTGTGTCTTTGGACATGTGACTCAGTTTAGTTTTGCAGAAAGCTCAGCCTTCCTCAGCAGGGCTCGATACCCATTGCCTTTGTTTCCTCTTACATCCATGAAGCTCCGCTTTCTCTTCTTAGTATCTAGTGCCAACAAAACCTCCTCCAAAAACGAGCACAAACCTAAAGCTGCCAACTGCTGAAACAGAAATTGGAGGCTGACTGTTGATGTGAATTGCCTAACAGATGAGGATGATTTGTTTTTTATTGGAAATTGGTCAGTAGCTATCATTACTAGAAATCTATGCCTTTTATAATACCCTCTTATTTTGCTATTGGATTAGCTTCAGCTCTCTTTTTCAGTGCTAACACACCATGGTACAGATTTTTGAGAATATGAGAATAAAATTGAGGCAAATATTTTTCTTTTTTTTCTTTCTTTTTTTGCTTTGTCCATGTAAAAATCTGTGCAATTATTTCATTGGTTCAGGGACAAACAGTTCTGTTGGGGAGAGGCACTCAACACGGCAAGAGATGTAATTGCTACTAGCTTTTTGATAAATTTGTTATATTTGGGTGAATTATGGGCTGCTTAGAACTGCATATTTCAGAGCCTTGTTAATTTGGCAGCTAAAATCTCCAATGATTGTCCCTGAGGAAATCAGGCTGGAGTTGGAAAATCACTTGGGCTGTTCTATAAATGGTTTCACTTCACACCTAGACTTGAACCTCTTGTACACTTGTGATACAAAGGGAGGTCTCTGAGGGGACAGCCAAGTCCCTGTGGAGACTGGTGATGTAGGCCAGTGGGTTTGGGGACTGTCAAAGCTGGGTTATCTTGATCTCAATCCTCAGCTTTCAGGACTGGCCTTGAGGAAAAGTATCCCTAGTCCTGACATCTGTGCCTGGTTGCTGGGGGCTCTGTAGATATCTTTGACAGGAAAATCACTATCGGAGTGGTATCCAGAGCCTTTTTTCAGTGGTCTCATAATTGGTGTCTAAAAGCAACACGCTGGAAACTGCAGGTTTGAGGCCGTGCTGCCCTGGGCGCTCGCGGTGAATCTGAGGTTATTCAGCCGCCTGAGCCCGGGGCTGCAGAGCCAACGTGACCCTCTGCTCTGTCTTGGTCTCGCCCCACAGAAGCGATCCCGAGCTGGCACCACAGCAAGGTTCTGTAGCCCAGCAGTGGTTGGAATAACCCAGAACCTGCTCATCCCTACATGTCTGTGCCGACCACTACGGAGGAAAGGGGATTGGGAACTGTGCTTATATATAAAGTTTTGTTTATTGTCCATTCAGTGTGTTTGGGTCTATATGCAGGCTGCTTGCTTGAAGAGTTTGTTTGGCCTTGCTGACACTAAGGCTTTAGAGCTGGTTTAGGGGTTGCAGCAAACAGTGAGGAGCTGCTGTGAGTTGGATGGCAACTACATCGTGCAGCAAAGGCTTTTATAAAACAGGTGTCTGTGTGTCTTGTCCAGGATGCAGCCCTGTGTAGTTTTAAGCAACAGCTTTGACCTGGTGTGGGTCTTTGATCTGCTTCTTTGTGAGGCCTTTTTTTCTGGATGTGTTTGGAGCATCATCCCTCAGCTGATGATTTTATTAAAGTTTCAATTTTGTTTTGTATTTTTTAGGACACCTGATGATCTCTCAAGACAAATTGTGGCACTGCAACAAAGGGAGCTTGTGCTGAAAGAGCAGAACTCGACCATCATTAACAGGTAAGTGATGCCAACAGTGGATGTTGTACAGTGAGATGCTGTCATGTTAAAGCACATAGGAAGAAAATAAAGACTGCAGCCTGAGAGGATGGCTCTTCAGATTCTCCTGCTGTCCCAAGGAGCCTTCTGTGCTATCGCTACCTTTCCTATATTGAGGATGAGTTTTTGCTTGTTTAAATCCTTGCAGGAAGAAAAAGATGAAGAACTGTGGGAGGATGTGGTGAGCTGTTTATGTAGCTTTAGTTTATAAGCTGAAATGTTTGCAAGGGAAAGTAAGCTGCTTTCCCAGATTGTTTCCTCTGGAAAGGGAATATCAAAGCAAAATGTGTAAAGTAGTTATCTGGGTGTGGGAAGGGAGCAAGAGCCCTCAGGACTGTGTTTGGATCATGAGAGCACAGGTTCGTGTTGATGGGCAAATGTGTTTGCAGGGTCAGTGCTGAAGTACCGTTAGACTTTAGGAGGAGCTGTCCGCTGGTGCAGAGTGGAGCCCTCCAGGTTTTGGAACAGCTAAAGGGCTGCTAAGGTTTTGCCCTGGTGTGGGAGTGAGGATCTCAGTACGGAAATGGATTTGTTTGCCACACTTTAACTTTCTGCACAGGGTACGCAGAGGATTTCTTAACGTGCTTGGGTATTGTGCCGGAATGCTCTTCTCATCCTCTCTGTGTGTCCTCTTATTTCCCGCACTATTTCCTTGCATTAGGAAGGAATTAGACTGTTCCTATTAAAAGCAATACCCCTGTCTTCCAGAAAGGTAGTTTGCATTGCTGTGGTGTTAGCTGAGCTGCCCAAGCAACAGAAACGTGCAGCACTTTCACCTTTGGTATAAGCACGTTGAATGCAAAGCAGCCGAGTGCTGTGTAACTGGGCACTGGTCAAGCCTGCATAGTCCTTCCTGCACTGCGTTTGCTAACGTGTCTCCCAGGACATGGGGTAAACGTTGGTTCAGGAGAGGAGTCTGCTGTGGCTCCTGCCTTACGAGGGACAGGCAGAAGTCGAGCCGGGTGTTTAAAGCTTGAAGTTTTGCTGCCACTCACAGTGAAACAGTTTAGTCAGTTGTAAAATTGTTAGCAAAGTGGGAACTCCCACAAGTGCAGCTGGCAAAATTGCTCAGGGGTTTTCGCGAAGACGTTTAAGGGGGTGGGAAAAATACCAGCAATATAAAAAAGACATTTCACATATTAAAAATAAACCAAGCAAACCCCCAAACCCACAATTGATCAAATGACCAAATAAAAGGACGGTGGTAATGTTTAACAGATATTGATTTGGGGCTTGTGCAGGCTGCCTCGCAGCCTGTCAGGGAAAGGCTTTTGCTGAATTTATTAATAGCCACGGGGAATCGTCTGCTTAGAAAGCAGCCTTTTGGTAGTGCCTGTTCACAGTGGATGTAATTGTGCCAATCTAGTTTAAAAATAAAAACATGATTAAGATTACTTTTTGATTTCAAGTGAAATGGGCTGTGAAGCTGTTTGAATTAAAATTCTAACATTTTCTTGATGCAGTGCTGTGTGTGCCGCTTCCGGAACTGACAGTTTCGTCTTTCTTCTGTCACATACCTTATTCTGTCTTAAAATGTACGCAGTAAGATACATTTTTAAAACCTTCCATTACAGCTTATATGAAAGTTCCCAGGAGAAGCTCTTGAGTCTTTGGAAACTAAAACCTTGTTAAGGAAACAAATCTAATTTTCTCTTTTTCTTTGAATGACTTCCTGATTCAGCTGATGGTCTTCTCTTTTGTTTTATAATAGCATTGAAAGTGGTCTGTGTATTACAGTGACTTAATATGTGATTATGACTCCCTCTGGTGATTTAGACCAGCACTTATTCAGCTTTCTATTGTTTTTCAGCTACAAGATCTTTTACCCTTAATGAAAATGTGTTTTGCCTTCAGTACTGTAAGTCTTAGGCTTGATTTCCAAAGAAGGTGGTTATGTGTGTGTAGAGGTATGTGCAATAAAATAAAAATAGTATTTGCTATTATCTGCTTTTAAGAAGCTTGAATTAAGTTTCTTTAATAGAGGCAATAGTTTGGTAGATGTTATTTAAGACGACATCGTTGAAAGTTAGCTTCAGAATTTGACCTGGAGCAACGAAGGGGTTGTAGCAGGAGAGGGTGGATCGTGGTGGTCCAGTTGGACCCTACTCGCTGGATCTGCCCTTAGAGCAGGGCAGGGAGAGGGCTGGGGTGTCTATAGCTGCATTTGCTCGTGAGCAAACTCTGTCTTGCAGCCTGGCAAATAGTCCTGATTGCTCTTTGACGAGGGGAGGCGCTTGCTAGTGAAACAGGATCCAACTGCTAAGATGGCAGAGTATGAACAGGACTCTGCTCTGCAAAACAGAATGTGTGTGCAGAAAACAGCACAAGGCAGGAATTTGCTGCTCGAGGTCCTGTCTGCTCCTGTAAAACTGGGGGGCAGATTTAGCTTGGCTGCTTCTCGATGCACTTGGGGTGCATAGAGGAGGCTTTGGGGGTACAAATGCACTGATAACCATGTCTTGCAAATAGCATATGGCTTCACTAAACGGACCGAGCTTGTTTGGTTTCTTACTTCTGAACTGTTTCCCACTTATTATATGCTGCCATTATTAAAAGCAATAAAAGGTCATTGCACCACAAAAAGGTTATGTTATAACTTGGCCTTTGCATTTTTTTTTGGGGGGTGGGGTTTTCAAGCACACCCTGTGTCACCTGTGTCACCTGTGTCACCTGTGTCACCTGTGTCACCTGTGTCACCTGTGTC